CGTGTGCATGCATGCCCAAGATCCCAAGAGGAGAATGGAGGAGAATGGATTGTGGTGTGGCCATCCCCCTGGGGTGGGTGATTTCTCGTTTTCTGTCTCTCTGTCTCTGTCTGTCTGGCGAGCACACGCGCCCTATAGTGAAAACCTCTCCAAAGATAATGTTCAAAATATTTCTTATAATTTTATATAATTTTGTTTATGACTCTATAACAACAGAAACAGTATGGTTTCAAATATTTTTGAAACAATATTTACATGTCAACTGCTCAAATTGTTGAAAAGCAAATGCCCAGCCCACTAGTCACACATGAACCTTCTATGATTGTGTTTTCTATATCTGTGAATAATGTCTCTAGTAATTTGATTGGAAGTCTGTTAATATGTAGATTAACACAATTGGGTAGAATTGCCATTTTGATTATATTAATTCTTCCAATCCAGTAACATGAGATGTCTTCCACTTTTTTGTGTCCTTTTCAATATCTTTTAAAAGATGTTCATAGTTTGCTTTGTAAAGGTGTTTGACTTACTTAGTTAGGTTTATCCCTTAAATATATTATACATTTTTGTGGCTATGGTAAAAGGCATTCCTTTCTTTAGGTCTACTTCAGAAAAGCAAATGCCCAGCCCACTAGTCACACATGAACCTTCTATGATTGTGTTTTCTATATCTGTGAATAATGTCTCTAGTAATTTGATTGGAAGTCTGTTAATATGTAGATTAACACAATTGGGTAGAATTGCCATTTTGATTATATTAATTCTTCCAATCCAGTAACATGAGATGTCTTCCACTTTTTTGTGTCCTTTTCAATATCTTTTAAAAGATGTTCATAGTTTGCTTTGTAAAGGTGTTTGACTTACTTAGTTAGGTTTATCCCTTAAATATATTATACATTTTTGTGGCTATGGTAAAAGGCATTCCTTTCTTTAGGTCTACTTCAGTCAACTTGTTGTTTGTATACAGAAATGCTATAGATTTTTGGATGTTGATTTTGTATCTTGCTAATTTAGTTTATTTATTACCTCAAAAAGTTTTTGCATGGAAACCTTTGGGTTATTTAAGTATATCATCATGTCATCTTCAAATAAAGATATTTTCAACTCTTTGCCTATTCAAATGCCCTTTTATATTATTCTCTTTTCTGACTGCATTTTCTAAGACTTCCAGCACTATATTGAAAAGGAGTAGAGAAAGTGGGCAGCCTTGTCTAGTACCAGTTTTTAGTGGAAAAGCTTTCAACTTTTGCCCATTCAGTATAATGTTAGCTACAGGTTTTTTATATATAGCATTTATTTTGTTGTGAAATGACTCTTCTATGCCAATCTTGCTGAAAGTCTTAATCATGAAGGGATGTTGTATTTTATTGAATGCTTTCTCTACAACAACTGAAATTATCATATCATTTTTATCTTTCTGTTAATATGATGTATTATGTTTATGGTCTTGCATATGTTGAACCCTGGAATAAAGCCTACCTGGTTGGGATGAATAATCTTTGTTATATGTTGTTGTATATAATTTGCAAGTATCTTATTTAGACTTTTTGCATCTATATTCATCAGAGATATTGGTCTGTAATTTTACTTTTTTGTCATGTCTTTATCTGTTTTGGGAATGAGGATGATGGAGGCTTCAGAAAATGAATTTGGGATGATTCCCTCCTTTTGGGTCTTTAGAAATAATTTGAGTAGAATCAGAGTTAATTCTTCTTTAAAAGTTTTGTAGAATTCAGAAGTGAGGTCATCAGAAGCTGTGGTTTTCTTTGTTGGGAGGTTATTTATTACTTATTCAATCTCATGGTCTATTATGGGTCTATTCAGGCTTTCTATATCCTCCCAAATCCATCTTGGTAGATTATATACATCCAGGAATTTGTTCATCTCCTCCATGTTCTCTCATTTGTTGGCATATAGTCACTCATAGTATCCTCTGATGATGTTTTGTATTTCTAGTGTGTCTGTTGTAATATTGTCTTTTTCATGCTGTGTTTGATGTATCTTCTTTTTTTTTTCTTCTTAAGCAGTCTAGCTAATAGTGTGTCAATCTTGTTAATCTTTTCAAAGAACCAGCTTTTGCTTTCATTTACTTTCTGTATATTTTGTTTATTTTCTATTTCATTTATTTCTGCTTCAATCTTTATTATTTCTTTTCTCCTGGCAGATTTCTTTC